ATGAACACCCTTTTACCGAAGAAGAGGGCATTCTTCAGCGGTGGAGAGAGTACTTTGAGGAACTCCTTTACCCTACCCAGACGCAGGAAGATTAGCCCATAAAGCAACAGGCAACGGATATTGGTATTTCTGTAGATGAGTCACACAAGTTGACTTGAAAGGTAAAAAGCCTCCTGGAATGGATGAAATCCGTCCTGAAGTGTCCAAAACATCGGGCGAACAGGGCGTGTGCTGGTTTCTTCTGTCAAACTGCAGTGGCTACAGGAAGACACCAGCAAGCTAAAGAACGGGGATTGTGATACTCATGTCCTAGAAAGCAAGCCATAGGGAGTGCTTCAGTTATCGGTGCATTATCTTATTGAGCTGTCCAGGAAAGTCTACGCCAGGGTACTAGAAAGAAGATGCCACGGAATAGCTAACTCCAAAATACAAAAAGAGCAGTGTGGCTTCCGGTCCGATCGAAGCACCTCTGACCGTATATTTGCCCTACGCCAGATTGATGAGAAATCGTGGGAGTTCGCCCATCCGGTGTACTTGTGCTTTGTTGACCTAGAGAAAGCCTATGACCGGAGCCTGCACAATGGTGTGTGGGCATGCCTGCAAACTTACGGGATTGGTGGTTACTTGCTACGGGCCATCCAATCACTATGTTATGATCGTAGGTGCTGCGTCAGAGAAAATCGCGTAAAGTCGAAGCCTTTCGGCGTTGGCACTGGTCTCCGCCAAGTCTGCGTCCTGTCCCTTCACCTGTTTGTGTATTACGTGTATGAAATAGTCGGAAGCAGCTAAGGCGATGCGTATATCGGTGTATGAGATGTGGAGACGAGAAGGTTGGTGTTTGTAGACGATCTTGTTTTATTGGCATCTTCTGAAATTGATCTAGAGCGCTCTGTGGCAAAGTTCTCAGCAAAGTGCGACGTGACCGGCATGTGTGTGAACGCATCTAAAACGAAGAGCCTGATGCTTTCTTATTCTCCTGACCGTTGCTCTCGTCAGATCAACGGTGAAGCGGTGGTGCAGGCGGAAGGGTTCAAGTATCTCGGAGTCGTGTTCACTGGTGATGGAAAATTTGAGGAAGTGATCGACCGGTGAATTGCAGTAACCAGTGCGTAATCCATTATGATTAAGGCAGAGCTGAGTCAGAAGACTAAGTTCTCGATGTTCAAGTCGATCTTAATCTCCATTTTTACCTACGGTCATTAGTCGTAAATAATGACTTAAAAACTTCGTTCCCTGATACAAGCGGCTAAACTGATCATTCCAAGACGGGTTTCTGGCCGTACGCATTTCGACAGGGTCCGTAATACAGACATACGCTATAGCTTTGGTGCACAGCCGTTTCTTCTTCAAATTGAAAACTCACAGCTGCGATGGTTTAGGCACGTGTAATGAATGCCTTCAGATAAGAAAGCGATGTATCTGTTTCTTGCTCAGTGGACCGGCAGGTGGCCCTGCGGAAAGCGAAGATTAACCTGTTGCATGCATATGCAAGAAGCCTGCTCTGGACTCCGTCTTCTGCCGAAGCTCAGGCTCTGGCATATAATCAGGAACGTTTGATGCAGAGTCTGACGTGTCTGCCTCCGCGATTCAATAGAAAAAGTGTTATGGATGGTGAAGATAAAGAAAAAGATGTATCTGCAGCTACTGGACCTGCTGACTTTGAACAGCTCCCCTTGTTTATACCCATGGTTTTTATCTACTTCAGATTTCCAAGAGGTTAGTGACCAAGAATTTTATGATTTCAAGCTGAAAGTTTAGTTTTCACTTTGGCACCTTGCTACCTAGAAAGGTATGGTTTTAATGTCGAAACTGCTTTTATAGTTAATTTAATTTTTTCTCCAAATG